GGATTATTGAGCATGCATCAGGATAGGATATAAGATTTTTTTCTTCCTTCTGCTGCATTTCTTTTTAATTTTTGATTGTATTTTTTTTATTGTTTATGGAATTGTTTTGTTTTGTTTAAAAAAATGAATACATTTATAAATAAAATAAAAATAAAATAACTGATGTTCTGCTCCGACTTCCTGTCAGCTCCATCCACAAGCTTCTCCTTATCAGCTCGTGCAGGGGGTGGGGCTAAGAAGCGTCTGGTGGCTCCATCTCTCAGCCTCACTCTGAGCCACGCCGACTCTCAGGACCAGAACGACAGCTTATCTGCAGCTGCACTGTCAAGAACGACGGAAGAGACGCCATCTCTGGACATCAACCTGGAGGCTCTGGAGACGCCATCAGACAGCGAGACAGGAACACTGCCAGACAGCATGCATGACCTGGAGTGGGAGGGTGAGACAGGTGGAGAGACAGCTACGAAAGTCGTCCTTTCGTTTCACTTGACCTCTGACCTCTGTTTGACAGATGACCTCCCTCAGACAGGGAAGAGTGAGGCCTCTGGTGTGGCCAATTGTCCTGTAGACCACTCTGAGGGTCTGATGGAGCTGGATCAGGTGGACAGCAAGGGACGCCGCTGGAGAAAGTTCTGCATCTCTGGGCTAGAATACCGGGTCAACATGAGCGTTCTAGAGCCATACCTGCAGGTGCTATCACATGGAGGTAGCATCCATCCATTCATCCATCCACCCACCTGCTTTATTTATTTCTGTAGCTCCATGGCCCAACAGAAGTCGTCTCAGGGCACTAAAACATTCTCAGACATTATAAAAGACAATTAGTAAAAGTTCTCTATCTGAAGAAGCATCAGATTCGTTGAATCTTCACTTCATCACCGTCTCTCATCCTGCGCAAGCAAAAGGAGACAGTGGAAAGGAAAAACTCCCTTTAACAGGAAGAAACCTCTAGAAGAACCAGGCTCAGGATGAGTGGCCTTCTTCTTTGACCGACTGAGTTTAAGAGGACAGGAAGCAGAAACAGACAAACCACCACCTTCCAACATCAGTAGAGAGGAGAGGGACGCACTCACCACTCTTAGCAAGGACAAAAACATCATCATTCTCCCAGCAGACAAAGGAAGGTGCACAGTGATTTTGAACCAGAAAGACTATCATGAGAAAGTTATGACACTCCTTAGTGACTTAACCACTTATGAACCTCTGAAAAGAGATCCAGGAAGTGGTTACAAGAAGAAGTTGATAGATTGAACAGGACAAGGCTATTGACCGTATTCTGTACCACAGACTGTACCCAGGGGAGACCACACCTAGTCTGTATGGTTTACCTAAAATTCACAAACAAGGTGTACCTTTAAGACCAATTGTTAGCATGATTAACTCTGTCACTTACAATGTTTCCAAATATCTGGCGTCTGTACTCATCCTTTTAGTTGGCAGCTCAGACCACCACATACAGAACACCATGGACTTTGTGGATAAGGTGAGGAATGTCATTGCGGAGACTGATGAAACAATGGTCTCTTTTGACGTCACATCACTCTTTACATGCATTCCTGTTGATGATGCAGTAGAGGTGGTCAGTTTAAGTTTAAAATCAGACACCACTCTGAGCAGCAGGACCACGCTTTCCACAGAACAACTGTGTCAACTCTTGAAACTGTGCCTGCAGTCAACCTACTTCACATATGGGGAGCAATATTATAGGCAGAAACATGGATATGCTACGGGGTCTCCAGTTTCTCCTATTGTGGCCAACCTGTACATGGAGGAGGTAGAAAAGTGTCACATTCTTTGTAAAGCTTTTATGGATACCCAGGAGTCGAACCAAACACGAGACCAACAACAATATAAGTTAAGTGAATTTATTTATAGTGCAGGGCAGGAACTCCGGGGTGGACTGTGGGGAGAGACACAGGATGAGTATGGCAGCAAAACAGGGAAGTAGTCAATACTTGTCCAATTGAGCTGACTTGTAAGGCTTACTTGAATGTTTGTCTTGCAGGCTTGGGAGTTGGATCCAGGGGGAGATACGATGGGCGAGCCAGACCAAGGAAACCAGATTGGAGGAGAGAATGAGATGAAGGTGGTAGGGCGAACATCTGAGCTGGATGCTGGATTTGTGGAAGGCACAAAGGACTCTTGGAGACGGGCTTTATCTGGGAGACATGAAATGTGGGGTGGATCCTCATGGATGAGGGCAGGGTAAGTTTCACAGCCGAAGGGTTAATGATACTTTTGATGGGGAATGGGCCGATGAATCTAGGGCAACGTTTTCTGGGGGTGTCTTTAATGTTGATGTCGTGTGATGAAAGCCATACCTTCTGTTCAACGTGGTAGGTGGGGCCGAGGCTCGACGTTTATCCGCAAACCTCTTGTTCCGGGTTGCGGTGTGGAGGAGGGCCTCCTTGGTCTGTCACCAGATCCTGCGGCATCGGCGTAGGTGATGCTGAACAGAAGGGACTGCCCCCTCAACTTACTGACTGGGGAACAGCTGCGATGAATAGCCAAGGGATGCTTCAAATGGGGACAGGTTAGTAGCAGAGGAGGTTAAAGAAATGTGTGCATATTCAATCCAGACCAGATGCTGGATCCAGGTTGAGGGATTATTATTGATAACGCACCTTAGGGCCACCTCCAATTCTTGGTTATATCTCTCAGTCTGACCATTAGACTGAGGATGGTAATCGGATGAGAGACTGACCGAGGCCCTAAGAGCTGTGCAAAATGACTTCCATACCTGGGAGATGAATTGAGGACCTTGATCAGATACAATGTCTACAGGGATCCCATGGATGCAGAAAACATGGTGAACCATGAGTTGGGCGGTCTCCAGGGCAGATGGAAGCTTGGAAAGTGGAAAAAAATGTGCAAACTTAGAAAATCAATAAACAATAGTCAGGATTGTAATATTACCTGCAGACAGCGGTAGACCAGTGATAAAATCTAATGCTATGTGGGACCAGGGTGGGTAGGCAGCGGTTGGAGGAGGCCAGTAGGCGGTTGGCTACTGTGTTTACTCCTGGTGCAGACAGGACAGGCCGCCACATACTCTCTAATGTCCTTGTGCATCTTGTTCAACCAAAAATGTCACCTGCAGAAAGACAGCATACGGTTTAAGCCGGGATGGCAGGTCAGTTTGGATGAGTGGACCCATTCCAGAACCTGTTTCTTAGAAGAAGCAGGAACAAACAATCTATTGGAGGGTCCAGTACTAGGGTCGGGATCCGTTTGTTGAGCTTCCTTGATAACCTTTATGATGTCCCAGGTGATCATACCAACCATGCACACTGATGGCAGGATATTCACATCTGCCTTGGAAAGTCCTGAGAAGGAGAACTGACGAGACAAGGCACCAGGTTTGACATTACGAGAGCCTGGGCGGTAGGTAATGAGGAAATTGAAGCGGGCGAAAAATAATGACCAATGAGCCTGTCTAGTGTTTAACCTCTTAGCATTCTGGATGTAAGCGAGGTTCTTATGGTCTGTCCAGATGATGAATGGATGTTCAGTTCCCTCTAACTAGTGCCTCCACTCTTCTAGGGCTAGTTTTATGGCTAAAAGTTCACGGTTACCCATATCATAATTCTGCTCAGCTGGGGACAGACGTCGGGGAAAAAATCAGATCAGAAACAGTCACTGGGTGATTTAAGGCAACAACAGGAATGTTCGGGTGTTCCACCAACTCAGAACTAATGAGATTCTGCTCAGCACCAGAATCAATTAAAGAAGCAACAGGAAGGTTAATGTATTTGATTAATAAGGTAGTGGGTAAAACAAGCCTATTTCCAGGAGAAAATATTGAATTGCCCACCAGTATCTCCTGGTCTACTGGAGTGCCTCTCCTTTTCCCCTCGCTGAACAGTTTGCAATAAAGTGGCCGGGCTTACCACAGTAAATGCAGACCCGAGCTGTAATCCGGCGTTGCTTCTCCTCCGGTGTGAGCCGTGTACGTCCAATTTGCATAGGCTCTACCTCAGAGCTTGTCAAAGCTGGTAAAGGGGGACTGGATGGAGAGAGACTGATTCCCGGAAATTGGCATGGCTCAGATGCCGGAACATAATGGGATCTGTAGTTTTTATGTTGCTGACGTGTCCGCAGTCGACCATCAATCCGAATCGCCAAGTTGATAAGATCATCCAGGGAATCTAGTTCGTTACGAGTAGCCAGTTAATCCTTTATTTCATTGGACAGACAACTTACAAACACTCCTTTTAATGCTACTTTGTCCCAGCGGGCTTCTTCCACTGCAACCCGGAAGTTAATAGAGTGGTCCGCTACGGAATGTTTACCTTGTCGAAGGGCTATTAGCCTCTTGGAAGCCTCCTCTTGGTGACAAGGATGCTCAAAAACCCACTGGAACTCCTGAAGAAAGGTATCAAACATTATGTTGTCAATATCATGAGAATTGAGATAAGCCTTGGCCCATTGTAGAGCCATACCTTTAAGTGAGCTAATCAAGAATGTTATGCGGGATGCGTCTGAGGCATAAGTGATCGGGGCAAGGCGGATGGCCAGTCTGTATTAGAGAATAAAGCCGCCACAATCACTAGTCTTACCATCAAAAAACTCTGAGGGGGCAAATATCAGGTTCACGGGTTACCATAATGTTGGCGCTGGGTGTTGTATCGGGAACTGGAGGCGAATTGTTCGTTACTTGAGCCTGGGGTAAGAGAGCAGTTATTTTCTGATTTAGTGCAAGCAACTTGCCACCTAATTCTTCCATATTGGACTTAGAGGTACGTTGCAGGGCAATAATCTGTTTTAATTTGGCATCTTGTTTGTCAATTCTTTAGTTTTGCAGGGTTAAGGACTGTTGAATCATCTCGGTATTGGTCAGATCCTGGGTATCAGAGCTATTGGTGGGCTGGAACATTCTGTCACATTCTTTTTAAAGCTTCTATAGATACCCAAGAGTCAAACCAAAACTCGAGACCAACAACAATATAAGTTAAGTGAGTTTATTTATAGTGCAGGGCAGGAACTCCGGGGTGGACTGTGGGGAGAGACACAGGATGAGTATGGCAGCAAAACAAGGAAGTAGTCAATACTTGTCCAATTGAGCTGACTTGTAAGGCTTACTTGAATGTTTATCTTGCAGGCTTGGGAGTTGGATCCAGGAGGAGATACGATGGGCGAGCCAGACCAAGGAAACCAGATTGGAGGAGAGAATGAGATGAAGGTGGTAGGGCGAACCTCTGAGCTGGATGCTGGATGGATAATTGGTTGTCCTGTGCAGAGGCTTGAATGAGGGAGAAGACTTACGGGGGAAGATTTCTGGTGCGGGGAGGCACGAGACAGAACCAGGATGGCGAGGAGACTGGTCTTCACAAGGAGCTACAGGAGGCTAGAACACTGGGTTGGGATTACTGGTGCAGCGTTAGAATGGTTCCATTCATACCTGAGCGACAGGAGTTTCTATGTTAATTTTGCTAACACTCTTATCTACTTCAGTACCTCTTTCCTGCGGGGTCCCGCAAGGCTCCATTCTTGGACCCTTCTGTTTACTTTGTATCTCCTCCCCTTAGGGTCTATCCTGAGGAAACATGGTCTTTCCTTTCATTGTTATGCTGATGACTCTCAGATTGATCTGCCGTTAAAATGTAACAGTTCCTCCTCCATTCGCCCTTTGTTAAAATGTCTTGATGACATCAAGACTTAGATGGCTGTGAACTTTGAGTTTTAATGATCTGTAGACTGAGGTCA